GTCTATGTGTCAGACACTATAATGACCTTATATTTACCCCATGCATTCTTACGTGTCTTGAAATAGTCATGGGTGAGTTGCACTCTTTTTTAAGCAAGGCCTCTTTGAGTTGATATTGTGTAGGAACTTTGTATCCTGGCCCATATTGCCCCACTGCTTCCATCATGATCTGGAAACTCTTCAAACTAGTGGCATTGAATGGGATTTCATAGATCCATCTTGCAACATATTTATCAACCTTTTCTTTTTGTTGTTTTTTGAAGTGGTTTTCTGAGGTTCTTTGTCCCTTAATCGAATCAAAATCTCAAGATCAAGGGATGGAAGTAAGAATTCATAGGCCCCCTTGCTTTAGGTATTCTCTGCCCAATCTCCATGGGCTATTAATAGAGCCCCCTTCTTGAGCATATTCATCTTCTTCTCTTTCTCCCCAAATATCAACTGATCTAGTGATACCATCAAGGTTTTTTTCTGTCGCTTCTTATTTATTTCTGATCTCTGTAACTTCTTTTTTATTTCTGATCCCCTACAGTTGGTCCAATATATCTTTTCTAACATCTGTAGGGATTTGGGTACTTGGGGATGTAATCGCATCTAATACCGGCCAAATGTTTTTTAAATCTATTAATGCTGGCATTGTATTTCTTTTTACAAAATTCGTAACTGAACACAATTCTTGTCTTTAGGATTTTGCGACGAGTCATATTTCCACCCTAGATCAGATTGTTCGTTAAAACTAGAAGAAGACATTCACAACTTCACCGTATCAAATCCTGAAAAACAAAATGAAACTTCATTAAAAATAGAATTGTTGTATATGAAGATTCAAAAAGTCAATAAGAACTACTTTAAATTTATAATTAGAGACATAGCATTACTTTATTATTTATAATTATAGACTTATAGCATTCAAATGATCTGCAAAACTCAAGCAATTGGTCGAGGATAAAACACTTAAGTATTTCATTGAAATTTGAAATATGACAGTTAGGGTATGTTTGACTAGCCCATAATATTTAGATATTTTAATATATTACATGATCTAAATATTCTTTAACACAATATGGTAGAAGCCACGTTTGATGGAACCTAACTGAATCGCATGACATTTGAGCATTACCCCAAAATCAGTATCTTGTGAAAAACAGGTGGTTCTTGAATTTAAAAAGATTTGAGAAAACGCTGACTTGCAGCTTTAAATTTATGTCAGAAAAATTTGTCTCTCTCTCTTGCATCTTATGAGAGCCCAAAATCTATTAATGCTGGCATTGTATTACTTTTTACAAAATTCGCAACTCAGCGCAATTTTTGTCATTGGGATTTTGGGACGAGTCCATATTTCCACCCTAGATCAGATAGTTCGTTAAAACTAGAAGAAGACATCCACAAGTTCACCTAATCAAATCCTGAAAAATAAAATGAAACTTCATTAAGAATAGAATTGTTGTATATGAAGATTCAAAAAACAATAAGAATTACTTTAAATTTATGATTAGAGACATAGCATTACTTTATTATTTATAATTATAGACTTATAGCATTCAAATGATCTGCAAAACTCAAGCAATTGGTCGAGGATAAAACAACAAGTATATCATTGAAATTTGAAATATGACACAGTTAGGGTATGTTTGACTAGCCCATAATATTTAGATATTTTAGTATATTACATGATCTAAATATTCTTTAACACAATATGGTAGAAGCCGCGTTTGATGGAACCTAACTGAATCGCATGACATTTGAGTATTACCCCAAAATCGCAATCTTGTGAAAGAAAGGTGGTACTGGAATTTAAAGAGATTGAGAAAACGCTAACTTGCGGCTTTAAATTTATCCGTCAGAAAAGTTTGTGTCTCTTCCTCTCTTGCATCTTATGAGAGCCCCCCTTCTCTCCCTCTCAATATCTTCCCAGCCTGGTCATTACTTTCTCTCAGCGGAGAGCCTCTCTCTATTGCCATGGCAAACTCCATATGGCCTTTCGCTACTAGGTTGCAATGGAAAATTTTTTTTTGCATGGCCATGAGAAACAAAGCAACTCTGAGCACTCTTGCATCGTCTCTCCCGCTCTTGCAAAGGAACTCTCTTGCACGAGAAATAGAGCAACTATGAGCACTCCGTATTGGGCCGTATAGGGTTTGCAATGGCGAAAGGGTTTTTGGGTCTGATACTCTGATTTTTTTTCTCTCTAAACCTATCAATGGCAAAAGGGGCATTTTGTAGAGAGAAAGTTAGTGTTTGCTCTTTTGAAGATGGTTTGCTTCTTTCTCTTGAACCAAACCTTTCTTTATGCTCCCGTTGAGTCATCACATGAGAGTGTTATTGGAATCTTTCTTTATGCTCTCGTTGAGTCATCACATGAGAGTGTTATTGGAATCTTTCTTTATGCTCCCGTTGAGTCATCACATGAGAGTGTTATTGGATTGGTTGGTGCTCTACATAGATGGAGGGGACTCTAAAAAGAATTGAGCAATAGATTAGTGCCTCTTTCTTGTCAAGATTTTCCACCTCTTCTCTTGCCTTTCTAAGTAATTTTAGGAATACAAGTAGATGGTCAAACATTCACAAGATAGCATGTATCAGGATAATACATGATCCAATGAAATGTCAGCAGTACCTTTATTCAAATTTAAAAAAATCTGAAATTAAAATTCAGTTTCGTCAAACGTGCCCTTGGCAAATCTAGAGAAATAATTAATAATGCACAAAACTGAAAGATTCCCTTCTCAATCAAGAGACAAATTTTAGACCAATAAACTTGAATAAATCCATTTGGAATTTTGGATTAAGTTTATTGACATTTACTAAGATTGGGTTACCCCAATCTCAGTGAAATGCTGTTGAACACAAACAAAAACCCATTCTAGAATATGGGCCACAAAATCAATCATAAATCTAAAAATACAAAAACAAAACCAAACAAGAAAAGAAAGTCACACATTGGTCATTTTTCAATCAAGAGACAAATATAAGACCAAATGACCAACCAATAGAGTAAAAACAAATCCATTTGGATTAAGTTTTAGATATTTTATTTAGATTGGGTTAAATAAACGCACACCTTGAATATGGGCCACATTTCCAAATATAAACTTGGAAAAGTTACAAGAACAAAAGCTAGACAAGCAAAAAAAATAAAATAAAAATAAAAAACTAAACCACAAATAGAAACCCTAGACAAATAGATTTAAATATACCAACCTTTGAAGATGCATTAGAGTTTGGCTCAAATCATTGATCGCCTAAAGTCTTCTTTCGCAACCAATTCAACCCACAAAAAAGTATAGAGTTGAACACTTCGATTTCACAAGAAAACACTATGATTTCACAAAAATCGTAAAGTTTGAAAAAATATTCAATCTTCAAAAAAATCTGAAAAATCTTTATTTTTTGTCATTTTTCTCTCTCCCAAGGAAAATAAATTGGGTTTTGGGGGGTTGCAATGGCCCCAAAACCCTTTTGGGGGAAATTGGGGGCATTTTTCTGCGCTCTCCTGGGGCACAGGGTGCCTAGGGACCATAAGGCCCAGGCAGCCTGCCTAAGCCCCTTGGTCACCTGCACGGCCAGGCTGCAGAATTTTTGAACCTTGCTTACATCCGCAGCATTACTTCTCTTGACCACCTTTTCTTCACTCTCCCATGACACTCCACTTTCCTATTCTCTACCATTTTCTTCATTACCTTCCTAGCTTACCTCTTGCTCTACTAATTTTCTGAGGTTGCTCTAAAACATTACCTCACTACTTGGATGATGAATTTAATGCTATCAAACGTGCATCCCAAGTTGGCTCTTAAATTGCCCTTTCCATGTTTGTGAAAATATGAACAAAGTAGAGCATCTCACGACCATAAAGCATCTGACTTCCCCGAAGTTACCAACACCATCTGAGATGTGATCCTATTTAAACTGGTTGGAGTACTTCACCAAATAGCCTGATTGGTTAGCAAAAATACCTGTGAAAAAAAAATCTAATTTGACAAGATAAAGGGAAAAATATAATCCCAAATATGCCCCAGTTTAATTTCTGTTTTTATTCATCCATGTTTTCCAGAGAATTGGAGGGACCCAACGCCCCCAGTTCATTGATATGATGCTGCAATGTATCCGTGCAAGCCTGACACATTCCAAAGTTTGCGAGTATCTTCTCTCATGTCTTCCATGTGCATATTCATTCTAGATGAAAACATGGTGAATCATTCCTTTTTATCCTTGCCAGGGGCCCTGATATCAGGAAGTTGAAGGCTTCTATTTTGCAGAGCATTGGTAATTATAATATTACCAAGGTAAACAGGCCATAAATATGTGCACATTCTAGCAAGAACTTCGTTCTAGAGATTTTTCAAGTTGGAAAGAGGCACTATCAAACTCCGCCAGGTTTTTTTTTCAACAGAATTTATGGGAAAAGAAACACAAGGGTTCGAAAGACAACTATGGCATGCCTCCCACCTATATGCCATTGTTTCCTAGCAAAATGATTATTGTTATATGTAAAGACATAGGAGCTGTCTATACACTTGGAGTAGCCATTTAAATATAATTCGGACATGACAAAAACTATGTTGTATGAAATGTGATAATGAGGTCAACCACTCTTGCAGCCAGTGCTCACACTGCAGTTTTCTTTAGGAGATATGTGTTTCTCCCTTGGTTAGTAAGTAAAATACTTGAAGATACATGATTTTTCATAAATTTCTCCCTGTTACTCCATATTTACATTTGTTGACTGGGCAACGACAACTGCAATACAACTTAGAGGTGCTGAAGCAGTGCCATTATGTGATGTGGCCCTTATTAGCTACTTGTTATAACAAGCTAACATTTATCTATCACTTCTATTCTTTTATTTGAGCAGAGGTTGTCAAATGGCTCAATTTCTGTTGATAAATTTTTGCCTGAGCTTTTTAAGTTGCTTTTTATTGGTACTTTGAAGAATGATTTGCTTATTCGGGCCGCACGCCATTTACGCAACTCATACTGATATTGCGGCTAGCTTTCCTTTTCAGGCCAGAGAATATTTCGAGAGGGCAGCAAAAAACGATGAACCTAGTGGGCATTATAACTTGGGAGTTCTATATCTTAAAGGCATCGGTGTGAAGAAAGATGTGAGGGTAGCTAGCAGGCATTTCTTAACAGCTGCCAACTTTGGACAACCAAAGGCATTTTACCAATTAGCAAAAATGTTCCAGAAAGGAATAGGCTTCAAAAAGGATCTAGCATTGGTAAGTTCATCTTTTTGTCCTTTCTTCTCTGCACCCACACACACATGCTTCTTTCTGGCATTGTAACATGTTTCTTAATAGTTTCCTCGGTGTCAAACTATGATGTTGATTTTTGGAGTCCTTGTGATAACAGGCAGCGACATTGTACAAAATAGTTGCTGAGCGAGGACCTTGGGGTTCCTTATCTCGTTGGGCTCTTGAAGCATACTTAAAGGGTGAAATTGGTAAAGCGTTACTGTTATACTTGAGAATGGCTGAGCTGGGATATGAGGTGGCACAAAGTAATGCTGCATGGATTCTTGACAAATATGGGGAACGAAGTTTGTGTATTGGGGAGTCAGGATTTTGCACAGCTGCTGAGAGGCATCAGCGTGCACATTCTTTGTGGTGGCATGCTTCAGAGCAGGGTAATGAGCATGCTGCACTTCTCATCGGGGATGCCTACTACTATGGCCGGGTTTGCTCTCTCACACACTAACTTACATGCACACACTGCACAATGCATTCTTTATAGGCCATCCTGATTGTCCTTTGCTCGCTAAAGGTCTCCTTGTACCCTTTGTTTTGGAACCAACATAAACACTGCTCATTTTCTGTTCAATTTGAGCAGATTACCCAAATTTAGAATGCCTTTCCTTATTGTCTCATTAAACATGCATCTCTTTGTGAAATTTCACAATCAGTTCTTAACGATCTAGTTAATTACTTTGTTGGGCCATTCGATCTTTTAATCTGGTCCTGCTGTCCAATAGCAAAATGAATGGGAGATAATAAAGGCTTCCACATGTTAGCACCTGGTTGGTGGTGTTCATTCACCAAAAGGAGCGCAACCTCACTTAGTTGTAATGAGATGGAAAATGTCTCTTAATTCCAGATTGACTGTCAAAAGCTCCTAATCAAATGACCATAGCCTTCTCTTGCACTCTTTAGTAATGGGTATTTAACACTTTGTTACTTGTATTGGAGAAGCAAGAGATTGTCTTTCTAAAAAACTGTTGTAGAGAAGTTTGATTAACTCGTCACTGTTGCAGGGAACTGAAAGGGATTTTGAGCGTGCTGCTGAGGCCTACACGCATGCACATTCTCAATCTAATGCACAGGCTATGTTCAACCTTGGATACATGTATGAACATGGCCAAGGGCTTCCTCTTGATCTTCATTTAGCAAAACGGTACTATGATCAAGCCTTAGAAAACGATCCTGCTGCTAAGCTGCCTGTCACCCTTGCTCTTATGAGCATCTGGATAAGGAAGAACCATGCTGGTAGTTTTATGGTGAGTTTCCCAGCAATTTCTTGGCCTTCTCTTTATCCAAAATTTCAAACGACGTTAGGAAATTCTCTTTTCAAGTGCTTTCGAAAACCTGGCGTCCGAATGTTTTACTTGTGGATTATTTCCATTTCCTATATTTTTTTCTTACTGAATGTAATGATCCTATTCCATCTAGTAAATTCTATCAGCGGTCTTGGAGCATGGAAAGCTCTACAGCTTTTAGCTTTTGATTGAAGTGACCCATAGTTCATTTACGCCGTGGGTAAGTGGGTTAGGTTTCCATGGCTGGCATTTTAGGTCCAAGGAATTTAAAGGTCTTTATGTGACATTCTTAGCTTGGGTAAAGAACCAAATTGATTCATATAAGAAATATGGAAGAAAAGTATGCGTGGTACATTTGTATCTGCAAATGCATCCTACTACCTTATCTTTCACGATAAGTACATATACAGCTCAAACACGTATGCATACGTTTTTATTTTGTAATAAATTGCACATACATAGTTTTCCTTATGATTTCAAGGGGTCACTTACATTTGTTTCTCAAAAGGTCGATCTTTGCTGTGGCTACAGGTTGAAATAATAGATTCACTTCCTGAAATGTATCCCAAATTTGGGGCATGGATTGAGACGAACATCATGGATGAGGGTAATGCTACCATCATTACTCTGTTTATCTGCCTTTTGACAGTCCTCTACCTCAGAGAACGGCAACGACGGCAAGCAGTTGTCCCACCTCCCCCTGCTGATAACATTGCTGGTTAACATGGTAAATCCATAAGATTAGCATGTTTGCTGTATCCAAATTCATCATACATGATGCATGATATGAGCAAGAGTTAGAGAAGGGCAAATTCCTGTCCCTTAGGCGAGCTCAATGGGGAAATTGTATTCAAGAATCAATCGTAGTGAGAAGATTTTGCACAGTAATTGAATTCCCGGCTAAAAAAATGCAGAAATATTGATGTCAAAATATGCCGTTGTGCCAAACATTTTTAATTTGTGGTGAATGTCTATCGGTATGCAGAAAGTTTATATAAAGTTGACTCCTTACGATGTAGATTTTAGGTGCACCTACAAAAGCCTTCGAGTCTTTGGATATTGGAAAAATATTTAATGATCATCTCGACATTGAGATGAATGTATATGGAGAAAAAAAGATTTCTTGCAGCATATTATCTGGATTGTCCATTCTCACGTGCATATAAATCTGCTTGATTTGAACTAATTTTTAGAGTTTAAAATTTTATAATTAAAGATAAAAATATATTTTAAGAATTTTTTATACTAAAAATTGCAAGGTTTGGAATTGTTTAAAGTTTCAATCTTATGCAAAACCACACCCTTGGTTCATTAGGGGGTCAATCTGGTGATGCTATCTTGAAAATTAGTTCTTTTCGATATTTTTGTGAAGAAATGGCCAATTCATTTTTTTTTCCTAGTTTGTAATCCGGAATTAGTCGAGCAATTTTGGCAGTTTAACCAACTTGAATGAGCCAAACTTAATTAGCTGCCATGGACTTGGATAAAAAAATTTTTGACAGAAAGTTCTTTAAGTTTATTAGAAACTTCTCAAAGGAGATTACATCATTGATGACAACAGTCTCAAACAACAAGGCACCCCTTTTAGCCAGCGAATTAGCCAGTCCATTGGCTTCCCTAAAACATGCAAAAGGGAAAACGAGAAAGGTCTAAGCCAGATCCAAGAATTGCAACAACATAGTTTTAAACTCCCAATCCTTTATACCACTTTTTAACATTCAAGGAATTGCTTCCTACCACACATGAGGATCCCACGTTTCTATCAATGAATAATTTCAGCCCATAAAACAGTGCATACAACTCCGCATGGTTGGTTGTAGTCTCATCGTGAGGACCTGCATATATAAACAAAATATTTCCTTGGCAATCTCTTACTACTCCATAGTTTGCTTAACTCGGATTTTCCAATGAGCTACCATCAAAGTTTAGGTTGAAAATACCCTCCAAAGGCAAAACCTAATTGCCTTTCGACCTTCTTATGATAAATCCCATCCACTTTCAATATATCCTCCCATCCTTTAACAGCAGATAACCATAACTATACACACTGTGCACAATCTTTTTAATGACCCTTTCCATAGGTAAACCAATCACGTCAAAGGTCCTTCTATTTATTTCTTTCCACACCTCCCACATAACAGGTCCTCTAACTATTTGTCAGATCAACTTACCTAATTGCGGCAGCCACGATAGAGAGAGATTAGAAATAATTTCCATCACCTCTTGGGGGAATACCATCTAACACCCACCTGTGAAACAAACTAGGACCAAATTCTAAAAATAGAAGGGCAATGTAAAATCAGATGAGCACATGTTTAACAATTCGCCTTGCACATCAAACATACATTAGGGAGGATCTTCCCCCTCTTAATAAGATTATCCACACTCAGTAGCTTGTCTTGAACAACCAACCACAAAAAAGCTTGAACTTTATGAGGTATCTTGCACTTCCAAATTTGAGCAACTTTTGGCTTGACCATCTCCAACGATCATGGAATAGAAGGTGATACATTGAATTCATTGAAAAGATTCTGTCTGACTCAAATCTCCCAAACTACTTCGTCTTCTGCCATTTGAGAAACATAAACTCGGTTCAGGATTTCCAAGAGAGAAATTATCTGGGCAAATAACTCGTCCAAAATTCTGTTTTAAGGAAGGTGCATATCCCACACAATCTGGCCTCCCCTTAACTCAAACGCATCTGACACCACAACGTTAGGATTATCCGTTCTAGCAAATACCCTAGGAAATACATATTTTAGGGGATAATCACCAATCCACTTATGGTGCCAAAATGAGATCATATTTCCACTCGCCAAATTCCATCTCACATATAGATGGATCAACGGCTTACAAACCTTAATAGATATCCAGAAGAAGGAGACATCTCTATTACCATGCCTTGACCCAATCCACATACCGAAGTTATCTAAGCCATATTTAGCCACCACCACTTTGAACCATAACTGATCCTTAAGTAGAAGACTTCGACACTACCATTTACAAAGTAATGCTTGATTAACTAGCTTTATTTTCGTAAGTCCCAGTCCCCCCTCACTTTTAGGCGTGCATACCCAATCCCACCTCAAAAGATGATATTTCCTAAAAACATCAGTTGATCCCCATAAAAAATTCCTCATCATACATTCAAATTTCCTAGCCACAGAAGAAGGAATCTGAATGAGGGACGTCTTGTAAATAGGTAAATTTGCCAAACAAGCTCGTAACAAAGTTATCCTACCTCTCAAGGTTATACTTCCAAAGATCCAGCTTAAATTGAGTTCTTTGAATAACTTTGTCCTAGACAGCCACAGGTAGTCTTCCATAATAAATAGGCATACCTAGATACGTGATTGGTTATCCGACTTGTAACCCATATCGATGCTAATTGCCTAACCTCTGAATCATCACAATTAACTCTAATCATTTTTTAAATTCACTTTAAGACCTAAATATGCCTCATAACTTCTCAAAAACATTATGATATTGTTTACTTGCTCAGCCTCAGCTTCACAAAAGATGAGAATATCATCTGCATACTGCAAATGTGATACAAAAGGCCCCTCATTTGCCCCCATAAAACCAAAAAAGTTGCTCCTACTCTCCACATTCCACACCAGAAGGCTAAAGCACTATGCATAGATTGTAAACAAAAAGGGAGATAAGGGATCACCTTGATGTAATCCTTTGGAAGCACTAAAAAAGCCAAAAGGGCTTCCATTGGAAAGAATGGTGAAGTGCACATAGGATAAATATCCAAACATCAAATTTCTCCATTTCTCACCAAACCCCATATCCTTCATAATTTCTAACAGAATGCCTCACTCTACTCTATTATATGCTTTTTCCATATCTAATTTGATCACAACCCCTAGAGTTCCATCCAACACTCTTGAATGGATATATTCCTGAGCCACCAAAACATTGTCTGTGATCATTCGGTTCTTAATGAAGGCAGATTGAGGTCTTGAGATAATTAAGGGCAACACCACTTTCAGTCTCTCCGCGAAAACCTTCGCAACTATTTTATAAAGACTGATAAGAAGGTACTTGGTCTGATGTCCCCTAGACTTACAATGACTGACTTTTTAGGGCTCAGAGCAATAAAAATAAAATTAACCCCTTTAAAAAGCTCCCATCTTCTAAAAAAACCCTTAATCATCTCCAACAACTCGTTACATATCAAACTCCATAATCTATAGAAAAAAAATTATGGGAAAGCCATTAGGGCCTGGGGACTTATTTCCAGGCAGCGAAAAGATAACAATCTTAAGCACTTCCATAGTAACATCAACTTCCAAGTTATTTTGAGACTCTAAAGGAAGAACTTTGAATGCCACCCGATTCAGCCTAGGAGCGAATTTAACCTCTAATGTAAACGGTTTCCTAAATGAGCAATAGTTGCATTAGCCATAGAATTACTTTCATCCGATTCAACTCCAGTGATTACCATCCCGGAAAAATCATTTTGCTTTCTATGATCGCTCTCAATTAGATCACCTTCTTTGAGCCATTTATTCCTAGATCTATGCTTCCAATATACCTCTTCCACCCTACGAAGATCTTGAAGAATATTGAGTTTTTCTTTTCTCTCCAACACCATGTCCTCTGAAAACTCACCTAAGGACTGGATATTATTATCTATCAATTCAATATCCAAAAGCACTTCATCAATTCTTCCTCTAACATTATGCCTCTTTTCTTTCTTCAAAAAAATAAGTATGTCTTTGATATTCAATAGTTTATTGTGCTTTTGGAAGTCAAGAGATCCCACTGTGATGGTATTCTCCCATGAACTTCTAATTCTATTCACAAACTCTTTCTCCTGCAACTACCCAATTTCAAATCTAAATGGTTTTGGCCCCTCCAAGGAGGTTTTGGTACTCAGTAGAATTAGGGTATGATCGAAAGATAACTGAGGTAAACCTTTGACAGATGCAAGAAAATCTGACCAAATTTCAGAGACCAAAAACCTGTCTAACTTAAACATAGACATATTAGACAAACTTCCATTGGATCAGGTATAGACAGTCCCTAAGATTGGAACATTGATTAAAGAATGGGTCTCTATAAAACTATTAAAAAACCTCATGGCCGAATTAATAGGGCCCCTAAAACTAGCTTCTTCAAGCCAATGGATGATATTAAAATCCACCCAATATAAATAAGATGATTAAAACTATACAATACATCTCATAAATAAAACTTTCTTTAAGAGCAAAAGATTGAGGCCCATAAACATTCATCATACCCCGGCAAAAAAAACCTGATTTAGGCCCTAAGACACCCACAACCAAAAAGTTATCTTTGAAGATAGTTTGAACAGATTGTAACACAATTGGATCCCAAAATATACAAAGGGCTCCCGAGGCCCCCACAGCATCAACACCCATAAAGTCGACTGCCCCTGAGCCCCAAATTTCTTGGACCCCAAAAACATTTGGTCTAGGAAGTTTTGTCTCCTGAAAGGTTAACACGTTTAGCCTATATTTACCTACCAAAAAATGGATGTCTTTCTTTTGTTTGGAGACGCCCAAGCCCCATACATTCCAATATAAAATAAACATTAAGAAGGAGGTGAAGAAGAGGAGCCTGGACCATCTTTGCACAGTCTGAAATAGACTTCTTCAAGCATAATGGCTTCCTCCAAAGCCTCCTCCATAACTTCCTCTGAAGCAGAAGAGTCCGAAGATGAAGAGGATGCACTACTGATATCCATCACCGACGTGTCAGAAATGATCACACCTCTAGCTGCACCACCTCGTGCCTGAAGTTGTGTTGAAGACCTGGTGGCCTTGACAACACCTCTGACTTTGGAAGACTTGCCAACGACTTTAACATGAGTCTTCTCGCTAGAGGCCGCAGTTGACTTACCAGTGCTCTGCTTATCATCCTTATTAGTCGCACGCTTGTACTCAATGATCTCCTTGAAAATAACTCCTATCGGGACTTCGTAGTCCATACCCATGTCATCCACCATCTTAGCTACTTTGGCTACTCTAGGGCTTCCTTGATTCGTCTCATCTTGATTAGCATTCTCTCCACCCGGGACCCCTTTTTCCTACTCAACATCAAGAGGAAGAAGAACAAGTTCCTCATGAACCACATTGAGAGGAAGGGAGACCTCA